CCATTTTTTTGCTGCGGCACCCGGGGAGCAGTTGGGGGTTCGGTGCCTTGCTCAAGGGTCTCACCTCAGTTGTGGGAATTAAAGGTAGAAGAGAGCTCTGGTCATTCACTACCCCCACTTATAATTCCTGCCGGTACTGAGACTCAAACCTGCGACCTTTAGGTTACAAGTCTGACTGTCTAACTATTAGGCCACGACTACCCCAGTGTTCAAATAGTGTAAAAAATGACCTTTTTATTATTCTCTATTTGTCATGTGTATTATGTATTTTTGTCATAAAACACTGGCATAAATAAAACAATAACAATGTATCCCAAGTCCTCATGTTGTCACATGTATATTCTGTTTTGGTTTAGTTTTCTGTTACATTTTGCCTGCCTGAGTTTTCTAGTTAATTTCTTTGGTTGTTAATTAGTCACCCATACCTGTTCAGGATTTAAATAAAGACTGTGTGGTAGAAATTCCCCTACGCACCTGACTTAAGATACCTGTTTGGGTCCTGTCTACTGGCAATCCGGTAGGACCTCATACAATGTAAAAAAAAATGCCAGGAATTTACAGGATTAAAGAGTATTATTTTACAATACATTACTGTAGTCAGAAATTTACTGTGAAATCAATGTATGCTGGTCATTTTCTTACAAATGACTGTGAATGAAAGCAGAATGTAATTTACTGTGAATTCACGTTATAAAGTTGTCTTTAACTGTGTTACTGTGAGAAATTTAGATGTTTACTGCTGTAATTGTTTTGAAGTCACCATAATGGTGACATTTTTTGGGGCTCTTTGACCTTGCATATTCATGTTCAAATTTCTGATCTAGTCATGTCAGAAGTGTGACAAATGAAAACATTTGTTAAAATTGTGATAATCTAGATTATGAAATAAGCAAATTGCCTTAAATGAGTCAAATTATTCTTAGCATGAACATGAAGATTTTAGTTCAGTGTTATTTAAGCATGAAGATTAATCAATAACTTATTTCATATTCATAACTGTTTGTGGATGGATCTTTCACAATAGTGAAGCAACTGCTGTGAATGTCTTTGAAACATGTGTCATCAATCATCGACATACAAAACACAACAATGGTAACACTCAACAAATAAAACCAACACTACAACATAAACCAACATTACAAAATAAACCAACAAAACAAACTGCTAAAAGTGAACTAAAACAAGTTCAATGGCACAAATAAAACCAACAAGAATTAAAAAAAAAACTCTTCAGCATGATCTAGTCATGCTGCATTGCATGCTGTGTGCCTTCAGATTACATCTGCACTTTAGAAACACAGTATGATGCTGTTTGTTTAGAAGAAATTTCTGAGAGTGCAGTTAGATACAAGAGAAGTGCTACTCTGAAATTACTGTCAAGTCAAGTCACCTTTATTTATATAGCACTTTTAACAATACAGATTGTGTCAAAGCAACTTTACAGCATTAAATAGGAAAATGGTTTGTCAATAATGCAAAATGACAATAGTAAACACTCAATTTTCAGTTAAAGGCAGTTCTTCACTGGGGATCTGTCTCTGGGGCTCATCTAGTTGTCCTGGTCTCCGCTGACATTCAGGGCTGTAGAGGTCCTCTCTACATGCTGATCCACCATCTGGGCTGGATACGTACTGGATCCGGGTGACTGCAATGACCATCTGATCTGGATTCAGACTGGATCAGGTGGCTACGGTGACCTCGGAATAAGAAAGAAACAGACTAAAATTAGTGTAGAGGCCAGTCTTCTAACAATGTAGCAAGTACATCAGGTGTTATGGGAACTGTTCCCTGTTCCAGTTGTCCTAATTAATGCAGCCTAAAAATACTTTAATGGATTTGAATATTAGAAATGTGTTAGTGTGTTATGTGTAAGCCAGATTAAAGAGATGGGTCTTTAATTTAGATTTAAACTGACAGAGTGTGTCTACCTCCTGAACAATGTTAGGTAGGTTATTCCAGAGTTTGCTGTTGCTTAAACTGACATAGTATGTATGCCTTCCGAACAATGCTAGGAAGTTTTAAGAGTTAAGGTGGCAAGTAGGAAAATGATCATTCCAGGGACTAATTAGGAAAAGGATCTGCCGCCCGCAGTTGATTTTGATATTCTAGGTTTTATCAAATTGCCAGAGTTTTGAGAACATAGCGGACGTGGAGGACTATAATGCAGTAAGAGCTCGTTCAAATACTGAGGTGCTAAACCATTCAGGGCTTTATAAGCAAGACTGTAAAATCTATACAATGTTTAATAGGGAGCCAGTGCAGTGTTGACAGAACCGGGCTAATATGGTCCTACTTCCTGGTTCTAGTAAGAACTCTAGCTGCTGCATTTTGGACAAGCTGTAGTTTGTTTATTAAGCGTGCAGAACAACCACCCAGTAAAACATTACAATAATCTAACCTTGAGGTCATGAACGCATGAATTAACGTTTCTGCATTTGACATTGAGAGTATAGGTCGTAATTTAGAAGTCTAAATCCTGACTGGAAATCCTCACAGATACCATTTTTCTCTAAGAAGGAATATAATTGTGAGGATACTTCCTTTTTTAGTATCTTGGACAGAAAAGGGAGATTCGAGATCGGTTAGTAATTAACTAGTTCTTTGGGGTCAAATTGTGTTTTTTTTTTTTTTTATGAGAGGCTTAATAACAGCCAGTTTGAAAGTTTTGGGGCCATATCCTAATGACAATGACGAATTAATAATAGTCAGAAGAGGATATATGACTTCTGGAAGCACCTCTTTTAGGAGCTTAGATGGAATAGGGTCTAACATACCCTATGTATGGTTTGGATGATTTAACAAGTTTATACAATTCTTCCTCTCCTATAGTAGAGAATGAGTGGAATTGTTCCTCGAGGGATCTATAGCACACTATCGCTTTTCTGTAGGATAGGGTACTTTCCCACCAAGCAATACGAAATACCTCTAGTTTTGTTTTCCTTCAGCTGCGCTCCATTTTCCGGGATGCTCTCTTTAGGGTGTGAGTGTGTCAGACTGTTTGCCTTAATCTTCCTTAAGCATAAAGCAGCAACCGTATCTAAAACGCTAGAAAAGACAGAGTCCTTAGTTTCTGTTACATCATCAAGTTGTTCTGAGGTATTGGATATGCTGAGGAATTTAGATTCTAACCCCAATAGAGTTCAGAATGTCTATGAATGCTGATCCCAATGCATCTTTTTTATTATCAACATGGATATTAAAATCACCAACAATTAAAACTTTATCTGCAGCCAGCACTAACTCGGATATAAAATCAGCAAATTCTTTAATGCAGTCTGTATGGTGCCCTGGTGGCCTGTATAAAGTAGCCAGTACAAACATCACAGGGGATTTATCATTAACACTTGTTTCTCTGGATAATGTTATATGAAGCACCATTACTTCAAACGAGTTATACTTGAAGCCCGCCCTCTGAGAAATACTGAAAATATTGTTATAAATTGTAGCAACACCTCCCCCTTTACCTTTTACTTATGTGAAAGTAATGCAATTATTAACCTGGAAGATACTGTAATTTCACACTAAAAATTTTAACAGTGTACCAATCACAGAGAATCTTACTGACTGCAGTCAATTTGTTTTTATGGGTGGCTATAGATCCAAGGTTGGTCCTGTTCATACAGGTGTCCCACAGGGGTCAGTATTGGGTCCCTTACTTTTTAGTATGTATATTTACCCACTTGGTCAACTACTAAGATCTCTTGACCTTAATTATCACTTCTATGCTGATGATACGCAGATTTATATTCATTCAAGACCAGGTCAACATGTGGACGTTGTGCATCTTTCCAACTGTATCACTGAGATCAAGAATTGGGTGTCTAATAGTTTTCTGACTTTAAATATCTCCAAAACGGAAGGTATGCTCCTTGGCTCTCCCCATCAACTGCGAAATGCTGGTTCTCTTACTTTGTCTGTTGATGGTGTTGCCTTGGAGTTTCAAAGCAAACTAAAAAATCTTGAAGTCATCTTTGATGCTTCACTGTCATTTGAGCCTTTTGTGCCGAATACGGTTAAGACATCATTTTTTCACCTCAGAAATATAGCACGTTTACATCCTATGTTGACCTTCTCAGTTGCTGAGAGGTTGATAAATTATTTTGTCTTTTCATGTGTTGACTATTGTAATGGTCTTCTTGCTGGAGTATCTAAAATCAAGCATAGCGTTAGTTCAGGCAGGCCACGTCAGTCAAGCTTGCATCAGCTGATAGTCAGCCGTTCCTGACGTGTACCAATCCAGTTTTGACACTTATCACAGCGGTCCATTTAAATTACCATTCTCCAGCTTCTCTTCTATCGCATCACTACTCACAAATCAACTCCCTCCTCCAACCCCAACTCCATCTAACTGAACCGGTAATCTAATCTGATTTTTTTTTTTCTTCACTAATTCTTCATATTATACAGTTCACTATATTGCAAGCATTCTCTATCATATATTTTGTATTTTCTACAACTCATGTAAATTGTGAATTGTAATTATGTATGCATATACTGGATCTGTTCTGTACGCCCGGGGGGTTTGACTCGCTGCTCTCCCCGCTATGTCCAAGCATGGCTGCATGGACAGGCATGGGGAGTTTTGCCCAGAACAGAACCATACCGCCAACACTAACTGTATGCCAGGCACGTGCACACATAGACATCAAAGGGGGCTTGAGCACCTGCCTTTTTTCTTCCTAAAGAGAAAGTGCCCTTTTTCTGGGGAGTTTTTTTTTTGTTTGTTTGTCTTTTAATAAATGAATTTATGTGTATATGTTTGTGTATGCGTGTTTCTGTTTGTGCACAGCTTTCCTTGTCAAACAAATAAAAACTCAGAATATCAGGTCGGGTCGGGAAATGTTGAGACTGTCGAGTTCCGATGCCTTCTCCCCTCCGCGTCTCAGCGCAAGCACGCACGGCGCACAGCACAGCAGTGTAGCACAGTGTTTCCCAAACTTTTTTCTACCGCGGCAGTTTTGATGAGGAAAAAATCCCACGGCACACCAGTCAATAGTTGGTATTTTGGCTTTATTTATGATCAGAAACCTTTTCTGAAATCCATGCTCAAATGGAGTTAAGGATGTTTTTGACCAGCGAATGACAGAGTTAGCCTATGTGTTTTGTCTGCCATTTGAATGGCTGCATCTGAAGCAGTAAATTAATCGCATTACGTTTCCATCAATTTACATGTTATAAAGTTTATTGTAGCTATATGGGCGCTCCGTTTTTCTTGTTGTTTAAAATATTTGGCCAAAATCTCCTGATATAAAAGATGAACTGCAATGCGCAGGATATTTAAACATTTAGGATAACATTTAGGATATTTCAACATTAGCCTTTATAGACAGTGTTTCTTGAGTAAAGAAAACACTTTACATCAGTTCTTTATTTACCCTTGCATTGCAAATAAGTAGACGTCTGTCTTCAAACTGCTCGTCCTGGCGCTTCATTCTGAATGGAGGCGGGGTGGAGTTATGAGGTTTGACTGACAATGTGAGGATCCAATGGCGTTCGAGGTTTAGCCACAAGCTCTTTTGATTGCATTTCATTGGTTAAATATTTGTAAAATATTTGTAAAAAAAAATACGATTACCAATAGCACTGATTTAAAATAATAATAACAAATATAATAGCGATAGAAAGTTCTTGATCATTTTCCATGGCACATCCGACAACCGGCACACTGGTTGGGAAACACTGGTGTAGCACACATTCATCAGCACATCACAGACAGGCAGAGAGCCACAGAAGAGAAGCTCTCCCTCCCTCCGTTTCCAGTTATGTTTGTATTGATTTTAAAATCCTTATGCTAACATACAAGACTTTGCATGATCTGGCTCCTCATTACTTGACTGACCTTTTAATGCCTTACACACCATGTCGTAATCTGCGTTCCTCTCAGAGTGTTACTTTAACCCTCTGTAGATTGGGACAATATGTGCTCTGAGCAGAGTTGATTTAACTCTGGGGATTTTGCTGTGTATTATCTTTCTGTTGATCTCCAGTGTTTCCCTGTGGATTTAAATAAAGACTGTTTACTTTGTACTCATGCGCTACACTACAACCACCGTCAGCATTACAACTGTGATGTAAGGTATTAATTAAAGCATATTAATCCAATATTATTTCAAATGCATAAATAAATAAATAAGACATATGGTCATTGGTTTTGTTGGCATATGTGTCTGCTGTGGCATTCCCATGTGGCGCGTCACTTCGTACATCGGTGCCAACATCGTCACGGGCCAGATGGTCTGGGACGGCTTGTGGATGAACTGTGTGATGCAGAGCACTGGACAGATGCAATGTAAAGTCCAAGACTCAATCATGCGACTGACCCAGGACTTGCAAGCGGCACGTGCGCTGACCGTCATCGCAATAGTGATCGGCTTCATTGGAATGCTACTGACGTTTGTGGGAGGCCAGTGCAGCAGCTGTCTGAAGAAAGAGTCCTCCATGGCCAAAGTGCTGATCCTGGGAGGTATCCTGTGTATTGTAGCTGGTGTCATCTGTCTTATTCCAGTCTGCTGGTCCTCAGCCTACACCATCTCTGATTTCCAGAGCGTTCTCACAATCGAGACCCAAAAGAGGGAGCTTGGGGCATCCATATACATTGGCTGGGGCGCCTCAGGGTTTCTTCTGTTTGGAGGAATCATTCTGTGTACTTCCTGCCCACCAAGTGAAGATATGTATCCAAAATACCCAGGCATGTACCCCTACCAAGGACCTATGTATGGGCCTCCTGGATCTTATTTGCCTGCCAAAACATATGCACCGAGTGCTGTATATACTGGAGCCTATGTTCCTAACAAACCATATCCACCCCCAACTTACTCACCTGTTCCAGGACAATATCTTTAGCTAATGGACAATAATTTTAACTGACACTTTCTGAAATATTTTTGAATGAAATCTCTACTTATTTCAGTGTTTGGTTAAATAAAATGTATGTATAATAAATGTATGTATGACTTGCTTGGAGTATCTTATTCTTTGCTAGCCTTTGAATGAAGATGGATTGGAAAATCTTGTTTGTCCTCTTTCTCCTCTCATTCAAGTTCTACTGGTAGAGATGATGTAATGCTAATGAACTCTGTATATATGTATGTTTCAACAGAGTAGGTGACCTTTGCAAGTACTGTTGTGTTGTTCACTTTTGCAAATCATGCCTTTTCTGATGTTTTTTTCAAAAGAATGTGTAACTTTGCTTCTCCACTGGTGAATATTTTGACAATATGTATAGCTTTGGATCTTTACATTGTCTTGTCAATAAATATATTTCTTGATTATTATAAATGATCTCAGAGTCTCATTTATACATTTATTCTTCATTATCTAAAACTATTGTATTAATCCTTTATCGCCCAGCTGTCAAATGGACAAAAACGTGATTAAAACGGCCATTTAGTTTTAAAGAAAAGTGTTGATGCAATTGTATTGTAAATTTGACTTGGAAAGCACAGTGAATTCTGCCTGGATATTAACAGGAAACAAATTAAATCCAATGGTAATGTAGCATTGGTTTATGTTTTAATTGCAGTAGTAGAAAAACAAAGTCATGTATATTCAAGAAGCATTTAATTCATCCTGCCATCAATGGTGTATGGATGGCTTATATTTTTTAGCCTTATTTTTAGCTTCATTTTTTTGTTTTGAGGCTCAACAAGTTTGTGTATGATATCAACTAAATCCTTTCGGTTAATGACTTGGTCCCTTTGTATTTATGTGACACTTTATTGTTCAGTTCCTCGTTGATGCTCATCTCACCGAAACTAGCCGCTGTATCGTCATTCCCTGCTGGGGAATCTGGTCAGGCTTGAAAATTCACCTTAACCTGGTTTCAGGCCGATCCGACTTCGACTCCTCCCTTCTGAGACAATCTTAAAACTCTGAAGGCGAGGAACAGAAGTCATTACTACGATTAACAGAGGAGCAAACACTTGCAAGCCAACGAAGCCGAGCAAACGAGAGAAAAATGGTGTCTATGTGTCGACAGATCCTAGGCCTGTCCCTGGCCATTATTGGTTTCTTGGGAGCGATTATTATTTGCGCCCTTCCCATGTGGAAGATGTCTGCGTTCATTGGAGCCAACATCGTGACAGCACAGATCATCTGGGAGGGCTTGTGGATGAACTGTGTGGTCCAGAGCACAGGGCAGATGCAGTGCAAAATCTACGACTCGCTCCTGGCTTTACCTCAGGACTTGCAGGCTGCTCGGGCGCTTGTGATCATCGCCATCATTATCTGCATCTTTGGGCTCGTCCTGGGGATTGCCGGTGGAAAATGCACAAACTTTGTTGAGAGGGAAGACAGCAAGACAAAGGTGGCTATCGCCAGTGGTGTGATCTTCATCATCGCCGGAGTGTTGGTCCTGGTCCCCGTCTGCTGGTCAACTAACACCATCGTCAGGGATTTCTACAATCCCATTCTCACAGATGCCCAAAGAAGGGAGCTCGGGCCTTCTATCTATATCGGATTCGGTGCGGCTGCGCTGCTGATCCTGGGAGGAGGTATTCTGTGCAGCTCCTGCCCGCCTAAAGAGGACAACTACAACATCAAGTACTCTCAGCCACGGTCCACTGCCACCAGCAGAGCCTACGTCTGAAGGAGATCAAACACACAAAGACTTTTTACTTACAAAGACCCTTTTTTTCATAAAACCTCTTTATTCCCACCTGTGAATTCTTTCCCAAGGAGAAACAAAGGAAAGACAGTGTCTGATATGGCGTAGTTTATCTACTGAGATTTTGTGCTGTGATTCTACAGATCACTGAAAGAGAAAGTGTGCATTTATAATGTGATGAGAGGAATCTAACTCAGGGAATACAATTTTCTAAAATGTTAACTGTGTTTTTCAGAAACCAGATGGTCTTGTAATATATGTTTAATATGACAATATGAATAGTTCCATTAATCATTATAGATAACTGACTGTTAATAAATTACAATGGCAATGGTTTTATAAAATGTGCATTAAGCTTCAAAATTTTTTCAAACATAAATAAGCATTTTTGCACAAAGATGTCTTCATCAGTAAATTTGTCTTACTGTTTGTTTATTAAAAGAAATGTTTGTGTAAAACAATTTATTGATACTGCTTTGACATCATTTCATAATAATAGTGTGAAAATACTGAATATTCTCACATCAAAGAAACCTCTGATGGTGACTAAAATGTTGACAATATAAACAGAGATGTTGGCAAAGACCTGTAAAACCAGTTTTTAGCAATGCTGTCTATATTTTGCTGTAAAAGCTAATAAACAACTATAATACATGTTCAGTCTGTCTCCACTTCATTCAGAGAAATTTAGACAAAATTAGACCCACTAAGAAAAAAAAACATTGTTTCTTTAGTAATATTTATTCAGTCATATTTAGTCCTAATCAGACACTGAAACAGTGCAAGGATTAGAATTGTATTTTGGAAAACTATTATTTGACGGCAATAATATAGCTATGTTAACACTTTAGCATATGGTTGGTTTTGTTATTATGAGGTTGAATTGTAGGAGGAGAGGAGAAGGAGGAAGGAGAAACAGAGTTTTTTTTTAAAGCTGCACCCACATATACAAATTCTTTCCGCTCTTTTCAGGGAAGGCAATGGCCATGTTTATAGTATGCATAAGAATATGATGTTATTAATCAGAATTTGGTCAAATTCTGATTATGTATTTGTGTCTTTACTATATGATGGGCCATAAAGTTATAAACAGTTGAATGCATTGCTAATGGGCCTCTTTGAAATATCTATGCCTGGGGCATGCCAAAAACACAATCCATCCCTGAGATTCATGTGCATACATTTCAGCAAATTCGCACATTTTTAAGAAAAAAAAAAAAAAAAGGTTAGCACAGAATTTAATTATTTCACAGAAGCAGGACGTTTGAACATTTTTAATATTTCAATGAAAAACATTGAATCTCTATTCCAACCAAAACACTCTGAAGTTGTTTTGCTGAAACTTTGGTTTCAGGTCCTCCCAAACCGGTTCGTCAAGATGTCAGTGGTGATACTAGCAAAGGCGTTTGTCTGAATTTTAACGATAGGATGTGGGTCACGTACTTTTGTAAAACATTTATGTCTTAACATTAAATGCTGTACTTCACATGGACCTGGATAAATATAGCAGCACTGAATTCAACCTGTAGAAAGCTTTCAGTATGAACACAAATTAAGATATTTTTGATGGAATCTGAGAGTTGTCTGACCCTGCATAGACAGCAATACAACTGAAATGTTCCCAAGTCCAGAAACGTAGCAAGGAGATCTGTAAAATAATCCATGTCACATCAGTGGTTCATCTGCAATTATACAAAGCTACGAGAATATGTTTTGTGCGCAAAAGAAAAAAAAAATACTTTATTCAAGAATTCGTCTCCGGCGTGACGCAGCTGACACAGAACAGCATACGCTGTTTACGTCCAGCGGATATTCTCCAAAATGGCACCAGGTGATGCGGAGGAGACGAATTCTTGAATAAAGTCTTTTTTTTTTCTTTTGTGCACAAAAAGTATTCTCGTAGCTTCGTATAATTACGGTTGAACCCCTGATGTCACATGGATTATTTTACAGATCTCCTTGCTACGTTTCTGGACTTGGGAACATTTCAGTTGCGCTGCTGTCTATGCAGGGTCAGACAGCTCTCAGATTCCATCAAAAATATCTTAATTTGTGTTCCAAAGATGACCGAAGGTCTTACGGGTTTGAAACGACATGAGGGTGAGTAATTAATGACAGAATTTTCATTCTTGGGTGAAATATCCCTTTAAACAAAAGTGTATTCCTCCCTTTAGAAAGTGACAAAGGACCGTAAACCGATCTCTCGTATATTTAAAACCCCTTTATTGTCTCAAACACACAGAATCTCACACAGCTGCTTTGCCTCAGTTTGTGCAGATTCTTGAATAGCATGCGTTTTTCTGAATACAGCACGTTTACCTCTTACAGACAGGTTTAGCTTTTGGAAAGACTGATATTGAGATGGCGTCTGTGGGCATGCAGTTACTGGGTTGCATCCTGGCCCTGTTTGGCTGGATTGGAGTGATAATTGTGTGCGCCCTACCCATGTGGAGAGTAACAGCCTTCATTGGCACCAACATTGTGACCTCTCAGATCTTCTGGGAGGGGATCTGGATGAGCTGTGTGGTGGAGAGCACAGGACAGATGCAATGTAAGGTCTACGACTCCATGCTGGCGCTGAGCCCCGATCTGAAGGCTGCTCGCGTCCTGGTGGTGTTTTCCATCGTGGTGGGCATCGCTGCGATTCTCGTGGCGCTCGTCTCAGGGAAATGCACCGACTTCATAGCTGAGGAACGAGGAAAAGTGAAAGCATCCATTGTTTCTGGGCTGGTTCTGATGGTCTCTGGAGTTTTGTGTCTTATCACTGTGTCCTGGACTGCTGTCATTATCGTAAACGACTTCTACAATCCCCTGTTACTGGATGCTCAGCGCAGGGAGCTGGGGGCTTGACTGTACCTCGGCTGGGCCGCAGGGCTCCTCCTGGTGCTGGGAGGGGGGCTGCTTTGCAGTTCTTGTCCACCAAAAGAGAACTGCCCAACATCTGTCATATACAATCCTGTAAAGATGTCAAAGCCATCCAGTGGGGTCGACACTCTTCTCAGCCACACAGCGCCAGTATCACGCTCTACAACTCCTCCCAAGACCTACATCTAGACCACCCGACACCATTTGAAACGATCTGAAAGATAATTTTGTGATGTGTTTTGAAATGATAGAATAGTGCAGGAGAAATTCTTGCAGCACTTTTGAACAGTTTGAATTCTCTCAAGTGCAAAAGCACTTGTTTTGCAGTAATTATGTGGGGTTTTATGTGAATTAAACATGCCCAAACAGCAAAAAAATAAATAAATAGAAATAAATTTTTAAATATATGTTAAATATACTGCATGTTGTAAACAATGAAGTTAAATTACATATATTTTTAAAATTTAAAATATGTTTAGTTTCAACCTTCATATACCAAATTATATTTTAAAATGTATTTCAGGTGCAGGAAAATATCTTGCCGTCTAAATGCAAATGTGGATGGAATAGCCTACTAGAGATCAAATCTAGAATTATACTGATTCATTAATGATTAATTTTTTTTAATCATTTTTTTCAAATATATGTACACACGTTATAGACAACAAATAAAGTTTTTGTTCAAATGTGTATTTTCTGGATTGAAAATAATTTCTTAACTGCCTTTAAAAAATCTATACTTTAAAATAGTTTTTCAAAAAAACTGGCATAAATATATCGGTAGAAAATATATTTACGTAAATATATTATGAAACAAATTTAATTTTTTTATTTTTTTGTTATTTATTTATTTATTTATTTATGTATGGGTATTTCCTAGCATATGGTTACTTTTGACTTGTGAGACTGAATTTACAGCCAAAAAATAAACTTATGCTGCTTAGTGGTGAAAGAGAACCCAGTGGTGGACGGAAATAATTTTTTTATATTTGTCAGCAAGATTTAAAAAAATTAAAAATATTCTAATTAACATTCTTTCAGCTCTTCTAGGTAACGCAGTGGCCATGTTTACATGCAGAAGAACATGTCATTAATCAGAATTTGGTCCAAGATTATGCATCTGTGTCACTACATGATTGGCCATACAGGCATAAACAGTTGCTGTGGAGAATGTTTTGCTAATGAGCGCTTTTTGAGACATTTTATGTGAATTAAACATGTTTCCTATATTTTTGGTGGTTTTTTTTATTTTATTCGGATTTATTTTTTATTATTTTGTTTTACTGCGTTCACTCTCATTCCGTTTTCTGTGTGTGGGGGATTGGAACACATAGTACTCAACACTAGGAAAACCTGCTGTTCAGGAAAACCTACTGATACCATTAGTCAGTCGAACAAACCATGTGCACGCTGAGAACAAGATGATGCATAGCTGTTTTTTTAATCAATTTCTATTAGACTACAGCTAATTTTAGTTAATATAATAGCTAATATACAGCTAATTTTAGTTAATATATCATTAATATACAGCTATTTTTTGTTAATATATAGTTAATATAAACAGAGTTAAGGAGTTTCAGTTAAACTGAGAACCAGTTCTCCCGCCTAGCCTTCCTTACAAGGCTCGTGTTACACAGTTCTCAGGCTTATACACACAAACAACCTGGCCTTGCTTACAATGAAAGCCTCATTTGTTACATTTCTTATTTTCCCTCCTCAACAGTCCAGAGTCACAGGGCTATTTCTGGTCAACACTTCAAGGAAATGTCATGTATTCTTTTAAGGAAAGCACATACGAATGCTTTTATGTCGGAGCACATGCATTGCATTCTTAGAGATGTAAACACATGATGTCAAAGACAGAAATAAAAGCATGACAAGCACCTCTCCAGCTCTCTGTTGAGAAATCTGCTCCTCAGTCAGTATCGGTTTCATTCACGCTCCAAACACAAATTCTAATTAAACGTCACCTGTAGTTTGATATACTGCCCCCTAACGAGAGAAAGCCATTCAAATGCTAGTGCTGCAACTAAATCACATCTGTTTCATTATTTAAAACATTGTTTCTCAGAAATAAATCAAGAATTTCCTAATGGTTGTCTCTGTTTTCTATCGTCTCCAGCCCCTCCATGGCTCTGCAGGTCTTGGGAATCACTCTTTCAATGATGGGCTTTGCAGGAACCATCATCATCTGTGCTCTGCCCATGTGGAAGGTGACGGCCTTCATCGGCACGAACATTGTGGTGGCTCAGGTCTTCTGGGAGGGCCTGTGGATGACGTGTGTGTACGAGCGCATCGGTCAGATGCAGTGTAAACTCTACGACGCGCTGCTGGATTTGGATCCTTCCCTGCAGGCGGCGCGTGGGCTGGTTGTGACCACCATGGCTTTGGCTTGCTTGGCTTTCCTCATCTTTCTGGTTGGGGCTGATTGCACGAACTGCCTCAGTAACCCACGAGCCAAAGCACGAATCGTGGTGGTCTCTGGGACCACCTTCATGCTTTCTGGACTGACCGCTGTGGTGCCCGTGTCCTGGACGGCCGACTCCATCATCAGAGACTTTCATAATCCCATCGTGCATGAAGCGTTGAAGAGGGAGATGGGGGCGGCACTCTATGTGGGCTGGGTCACGGCGGGCTTTCTGTTCGTCGGTGGGGCGGTTCTCTGCACCAGCTGCCCACCAGAGCGGCACAACTACTCACCGAGATACACCTTAACAAAGACTGACACTCATAGTGGCTATGCCATAAAGAACTATGTGTGATATACAGCACATGCCATTAAACGGACACGCTGATCTAGTGCAAAAGTGATATCATAAAATGGTAAACAAGAAAAGTTCATCTCAAAGAATATACTTGGCTTTTGAAGTTTCAGTGCTAAATAAGAAAAGTGGGATTTTTAAGTGATTATCAAAAAAAAAGAAGGCAAAAATTTGTGCTTGTGAGTTTTGTGTCCTCGTCTCTGTATATTTGTTCTTCTTTAAAAACATTTTTAAAAATACATTTAAAACATTAGATTATTCAGACTTAAGATGACTTAAGTATAGGAGTGTGTGTGTGTTTGTGTGTGTGTGTGTGTGTGTGTGTGTGTGTGTGTGTGTGTGTGTGTGTGTGTGTGGTTTCACATACTGTACATTGTAAGGACTACAGTAAACAGAATAGCAAAAAAACAACAGAAGTCAATGGAAAGTCCCCATTACGATACAAAAAGTTTTTTTTTTCCATGTGTGTGTGTGTGTGTGTGAGAGAGAGAGAGAGAGAGCGAGAGAGAGAGTTTAATAATGTGTTTTCTGTTTTGTAAGAAAATCAAACAAATAATTTTGAGTAATAAGGTTGTGTTAAAAATAATTATAATCTGTTGCATTGTCCTGGACTGTATTTTTATGCTCTATTTTTATTTGTGAGTAAAATGATTACTGAACAATCTTAAGATTCAGTGAAAAATATCCTATAAAATAGTCCATTAAAATAAAGATGACCATGTCTGCAACTATTTATCTCAAACTTTGATGTAATATTTCACATTACATTTATAGACTAGAAAAAAAATTTAAGAGATATATCACACACCAATTTAAAATCTGTCATCATTTAATCACTCTCATGTTATTCCAACCCTGTAAAACAAAATATTTTGATAGATATTTTTAAGAATGTTAGGAGCACTAGAACATGATTTGTTTGTTTCTTCTTCTTCTTTTAAATGCATTGTATTTTAAATGTCATAATTGTGATTTTTGTTTACTTTTTAATTTAGGTTGCCTATTAAGAACTGCCCAGTTACTATATGTGACCCTGGAGCACAAAAGCAGTGTTAAGTCGCTGGGGTATATTTGTAGCAATAGCCAACAATACATTGTATGGGTCAAAATTACACATTTTTCTTTTATGCCAAAAATCATTAGGATATTAAGTAAAGATCATGTTCCATGAAGATATTTTGTAAATGTCCTACTGTAAATATATCAAAACTTAATTTTTGATTAGTAATATGCATTGCTAAGAACTTCATTTGAACAACTTTAAAGATGATTTTCTCAATATTTAGATTTGTTTGCACCCTCAGATTCCAGATTTTCAAATAGTTGTATCTCAGCCAAATATTGTCCTATCCTAATCTATGAAAATTAGCCTTTAATTAATTGTTTTGTTTCTGTTAATTAATGAGTGCTGTCCCCATCAAATAAATAAGTAAATAAATAACAGTTTTGATTACCATTGACTTCCATTGTATGGAGAGAAAAAAAAGGTAAGTAGATTATGACAGAATTTTCTTTTTTGAGTGAACTGACCCTTTGTTTTAAACCCTACAGCTTAGCCTAACTAGCCTATGTAAATCAATGTCAAGTACATAGAGTGCTGTTGTGAACCACACTACCTTGGTGAGTAGAGGACATGGACAACATTTGACATTTTGTCCAGTAATTATTGTGTTAATCAAGTTGTTTTAAAGTATATTATAAGAAAGAATAAGAAAGAGGCATTGAAGATCAAACATTACATTTAAAAAAGATTACACATTGATTAAAGAGTTTATAAGCCGTGCAAATTGTCCACGTTCTGGGTACTTTTTTGTTAAAAGAAAGTGAAATTGTATTTAAATAATGTTTTAACTCTTCTAAAGAATACAAAACATAAATAAATAAACAAATAAAAAATAGGCTTACAGTTTAAAGGATGCATCTCCTGCAACAAATTTCGTATCATATGCACGCGAAAACTGCGTATTATATGCACACAAAACACATGCATATCATATGCACGCCAAAGTCCATTTTTGCGTATCAATACCATGAGTTTTCGCTTTTATTTGGAGTACTATTTATATGCATTTTCATGAGACCGGGCTCCCTGAAGAGAGCGGCCAGTGTGATGTCAAAGTGGCGTGCGTTCTAAAGATTCGCGCATTCGGCCTCATACAGCGGTGAATTCTGTCTCGAGCTCTGTCAGCGTGTATGCACGCCATCAAATTTCGTATCATATGC